ATCTTCAAACATTGTTCATAGTCAGTGTCCGCCTTGGCCAGGCACTGGCTGCCTTGGCCCTGTGTGAACTCTGTGGGTTGTGGGCCAGAGAAGTGCGGAGATCTCTTCCCTATGTGAAGGGCTACAACTCTGAGTTTGTGCCCAGCTCTGCACTATGGGTTCCCTAAGTTCTGGCTCTAGTTTGCAGTGCCCACACTGCAAGAATCATGCAGAAAGCTCATCCACAAAGGTGGAGCTCCCTACCACAACATTGCCATCTGGGTCCATGCAGAAGTCACCACAGGGGAGGACCAGAAGGAGGCCCCAAACTTCCTTTGTGTCCCTACAGTTTCACGTGGACTCTGCACCCTAAGGTTACACTTGTCCCTGGTACAGGCGGGTAGGAGGCAGGCAAAAGGGCAGCGCCGAGATCTCCTTTCTGTTTAAGTGGTGGAGGGGGCTTGCCTACAGTCCCTCTCTTGGCAGGGGACTTGGTTCTCCAGAGAGCAGAAAGGCCTTTGGATGAATCTTTAATCTTAGTTCCGCCTGCCCGCCGTGTACCAGCTGTCCAGCCTTAAGAAATCCACTCCCCCTCTCTGTTTTCTCGAATATAACTAAGTATAGCTACCATTCGAACTCTTAATTATTTTCCATGTACTTCACATATATTATTTTTATCTGCACAACGATTTTGCAGGCTTGGTGTTATTGCCCACATTCTGCAGATGGAAAAGTAGGATTGTACCCAAGGAATCTGACTTGCCAAGCTTATACCACTGTTAAGTAGGGACACATGACTTGAATATGTCTCTGCCTGAAGGCATGGTACTGTCTCTCAGGGAGAACACCGGTACTATGCAGTTTAAAAGGTGAAACACAGATGGTGTCATTCTTTTCTACCCTGTCTTCTGGCCAGGCTGGGTGGATAGCATGGCCATCCCTGTAGAGATCAGAGTGCAAGAGGAAAGGGATTAGACTGCTGAGAAGGCTGTCTCACTCGCCCTCTGCCACTGAAATGGAGGGTTCACTTCTCTCCTGTCAGTTCCATAGCACATCAAACAAATCTTTGAGAAGATCCAGATCACTGTTGTGGGGTTTCCTGGCCCCCACCAGGTAGGCAACCATTTTTCTCATGTTTCAGAATGAGAAGAGAAGAATGGACCAAAGAGGTCCATGGATGACTCTAAGATCCTATATCCCAATCTTATGACCATTAATAGGAGGCCAGGGGTGCTTTGATTTTTCTTCCGTGTTTCTGTTCACTTCATAGACAAAATGTGGGATCCTGGGGAGAGAAGGGTGTCAGTGAAATCTAAGTGCTGGTCTTGTAAAACCAAATCTGTTGATATTACCACCAGTCTTGTCTGGCGCACAAGTGGTACTATTCAAAGTGGATGATGGACAAATACATGTTTTGGGAAGTGTAAAGTGACATGGAAATATAGATGATGGTGTTATTTATACAAGGATCTGGAAGAAATAGGAATATAAAGATGAATGACATTTTGGAAACTTTCAGATTGGCAAATGAAACAAGCTTGGCTACCACTAATGGGGGTGTAAATAAGTATATCTATCATGGAGAACACATGGAATTTTCTTTTAAAAATTAGAAATAGAGCTACCATTGGATACAGTCACCCTATTACTGGGTAATTATCCAAAAGAGATTAAATTTGTGAATCATACAGGCACAACATGTTTATTACAGCATTATTAACAATGGCCAAGATGTAGAGACAACCTAGATTGTAAACAGATGAATAGATAAAGAAAGTGAGGCAGAAATACACAGTGAAATATTATTCAGTCTTGAAAGAATTACAACCTGTAAATGTTACAGCAACATGGATGGAAATGGAGCACATTCTGTTGAACAAAATTAGTCAGGTAAAGAAAGTCTCCCCTTCTTTGGCTTGTGGATCCTTCTTTAAAGCTGGTGTTGGTGCCTTGTTCACAGAGAACTGCTGTGCTCTCTGCTTTTGTTGGCAAGTTCCCGTCTCTACTCTAAAGCCATGTCCTCCTTTTAAGGGGCCTGTACTGGCTGCTTGTGTGTCAACTTGACACGGGCTAGCGTCATCAAAAAGGAAGGATCCTCAGGTGAGGAGATGCCTCCATGAGATCCAGCTGTAAGGCATTTTCTCATTGAGTGATCACTGAGGGAGGATCCAGCCCTTGGTGAGTGGGGCCTTCCCTGAGCAGGTGGTTTTGGTTTCTACAACAAGGTGGGCTGAGTGGATCAGGGGAAGCAAACCAGTAAGCGGCACCCCTCCGTGGCCTTTGAGTCAGCTCCTTTACTCCAGGATCCTGCCTTGTTTAATTTCCTGTCCTGACTTCCTTCAGTGATGAACAGCAATGCTGTAGTGTAAGCCTAATAAGCCCCTTCCTCCCCAAGTTTCTTTTTGGTCATGGTGTTTCATCATAGCAATAGAAACCCTAAGACAGGGCCTTTTAATTACATCAGGTTGGGAACATATCATGAAGTTCCTTGCACCCATAGATATCCAGAAAAACCAGGATTGCCTTGCCAATGGTAAAGATGAAAAACCTGTTCTCCCATCCAGAAAGCTAAGAATTGGAAGTGATTAACTGACTGGTGATCTGTGTTATCTGTTGGGGCAGTCCATAGCAAGCTCTTACAACTAAGACCATAAATGGCTAGTAATCTAAATGACCCAGATAGTCAGAGTCTTCCCCAATCTCCCACAACCAGGACCAGAGGTGGCTAAAAGCCCAAATGACCTCTATGCTATGACAGAGACTAGGCCAGACCCCTAGGCTCTTAAGCTAGTACAGGTAGGCTATCTCTAGAACCTATCTCCTTGGAGGAAATGACATGTACCCTGAGTAAGTTTAAATGTAATTATGTTTCTTTGTGCAAAGGGAATCACACCAGGAAATCTTTTTCCAAATTATACTGGGCTTAAATACATTGTGAATAAACCACCAGCTATTAGACTCCTCGAAGTTTGATCCAGGTTGACGAAGTCAATCTGCACGGGGGTTTTAATTCTGTTTTCAGGGCTCACTTCCCTGTATGACACCTTCAGGGACCATTTCAACATCAAGCCCATGTATCTACTTGAGAGTAATATTCCCATCTCAATAATCTTTTAAAATTTTTATTTATATTCCTTGAGATTTTTATATATATATATATGATGTATTTGATTATGACTACCCCCATCCTCATCTCCAATATCCCAGGCTCTTTTAGCTTCATATACTCATTTTTAATTGTCTTTTTACAACCCACTGAAACAGATTACATCTTCCCATACATGGGTGTAGGGCCCTCTACAAAGACAGGGCAATGCACCAAGGGCCGATTCTCTGAAGAAAACTGACTCTCAGTTGGTTTCCTCAGCAGCTAGCAATTGCCAATAGCTGAGCAGCTAGAAGTGGGACCTTGGGTCATCTCAGGTATAAAGTTTCTTCAGTTTGATAAGGTAACACAGTCACAGGCACCAGGGTCTAGGACTTGGACTTCTTTGGATGTACACAGTGTGTGTGTGGCGGGGGGGGAGTAGAGGACATTTGCAACATCAGCAAAATCTAGGAATTCAAATAAATATTTCAAAAGAAATATATATGGGTGAGGTAGCACAGATTTATAATTCCAGCAGTTGGTAAGCAGAGACAGGGGATTGTGAGTTTGAGATCTGACTGGGAAGAAAAAGAGAAAAGAAGGAAGGAGGGAAGGAAAGAAGGAAGGAGAGAAAGAGAGAGAGAGAAAATAACAGCAAAAGCAATAACAGCTAAAACAAAAACTAAAACCCAAAAGAAGAAACAACTAAAACCAAAAAGAAGAAAAAGAACTCTCCCTCTTCAAATAAGTCACCATGTAACTTTCTCTATAAAGACTTTTCACTACCTTTATATAACCAATAAAAACAGACATTCTGCTATCAGGGAGGAGGCTATGAGCAGCATCACACTTAGGTCACACATGACAGGAAGCAGAAACACTCAAGGTCGGGAAGTTATAATCCTGTATGTGCTTCACTGAGGACTGGCTACGGCCTTTAGAAACGATCAGTGGCTAACAATTGTTCACAGCTTTTTAGCGGCTCTAATCTACAGTCCTCTGGCTCCAGAGACTTCAAAACACTTTTTAAAAAATCATTAAATCTCTGCATTTTGTAGAGACGTTTCAGGTTCACAACAAAATTGAGCAGAAAGTACAGAGAGTTTCCATATACACAGGGCCCACACCCACACCCTCCTCCACCAAAAAAACATTTTAGAAAGCAGAGTCCTTGGCTTCTTTTCCAAAATTAATACCAAGATAAAAAATTCAGATGAGGCTGCTCTGGCTGAAGTGGCATTTGGAGCCTCTCAACCTCTGTCAGGCCCTAGGGTCTGCTTGGAAACGTCTGTTTTAAAGTTCCTTTCATGAGTGGAATATGGAGAATAACATAGGTTAGAAAGTACTCTCTGGACTACAGAAGTAAGAATATGTTGGAAATTATTCTTCAGGCTGCAGAAGCAATAAACAATAATGTTCTGCCAAGAAATGGAAAAGAACAGGCTTCCATTCTGAGACTTGGTTTCCCATCCCTGCCACAAAGAACAGTCTCGTCTATGCTATGAATCAGTTTATTTTAGCTACAAGAGTGAAAGGGCTGGAAAGCCATAACTGCCACCTCAAGGTGGATCTGATACACTTAGAAATTTAAGGGTTTCTTGCCATGCACTCCTTAGATGCCGAGGACAAATCAACTAGTTGTTTTGTGAGAAGAAGAGGGCCAGAGAAACAGAAATAAATGATGAGCTCCCCAGGAATGCAGTGTTGGAAGAGCTTCCAGGAGAGGTCCAGAGAAAGCTTGGAGAGTTTTCCAGAAGAAATGGTGTTTCAGGCAGTAATAAGAGAGTTAGCCCAGCCGGGCGTTGGTGGTGCATGCCTTTAATCCTAGCACTCTGGAGGCAGAGTCAGGCGAATCTCTGTGAGCTCGAGACCATCCTGGTCAAAAGAGCAGGTTCCAGGAAAGGCTCTAAAACAACATAGAGAAACCCTGTTTCAGAAAGAGAGAGAGAGAGAGAGAGAGAGAGAGAGAGAGAGAGAGAGAGAGAGAGAGAGAGTTAGCCCATTGTAGAGGTTGGGTAGGCTGGGATCCAGGAGATGGAAAAGAGCTAAAGTGTGTGTGTGTGTGTGTGTGTGTGTGTGTGTGTGTGTGTGTTTTAAAATAAGCAGGGAATAATAACTGGAATTTTAAGAGTAAGGCGCTGGCTCCAGTAGTGCCAAAAGGCTAAGCCCAGTGTACTTTAATACATCAATTAGAGTACTGGTAATGAAGAGAAAAGGAAATTTATCTAAAGCATTAGGAAGAACAGATAAAGGGGGCGATGACCCCTACATCCATCTTCAGGATACTGACAGGAGCCTTAGGTTTAACTAGAAGAGGCATTAGGGCAGGAGTGAGTAGCTACTCATCACTAAACAGCCACCAAGCTGTAACCTGGTTGATCTGTAGTCTACTGCCTCGCCTCTCAAGGGCTGGAATTACTGCTCACCCCCCCCCCCACACACACACACTTGATTCGTCTTCTGAGTTCTGGTTCTGAAAGGTGATCTGAAGAAATTGCTAGGGCTGTCATCACTTGAGGGAAACAATGCCAGTTCTGCAAGATGATTACTTCTGCTCCAACCATCCTCTTCTAGGGGATGGAATTTTCTATTCTAAAAGGACTTATTTTTTAATCCAAAGTAACTGTAGTTTTGAACAATAATTTCCTTTATGCCTTTATTCTCAAGGGGAGATGAGACAAATTAGGTAGACAGACTCCTTGATTAGCACGCCTAAGCTAGATCCAGCAGGAGATGGGGACAACGTGAAATGAAAACAGAAATGCCAGGCTTTTCATACAGCTTTCAGCTACCTTCTGGGTCCTGTTGGAGAGAGAGGTAAGAATTTTTAGCAAAAGCATCGTCCAAGTGCCTGTCATAGGGGCTGATGTTGCCAACAGACTGTGAGACATGTTTAACTGTGGACTTTCTATAAGAGCCAAGGCAGTCACTTGGGGTCCTACCGGGGTGAATGGGAGTCTTGAGTTACACTTCCCTGCCTTCTCCTGAGTGGTTGACCTTGGATCCCTGAGGCTCTTTCCTTGCTATGATCATGAGCTGTAATATTTGCAGTCTCCGGGTTGGTGGGATCCTGTGAGCAAAACATTGAAGCGACTTGCTCATGCAGAACAGAAGACCAAGGGTGGGTCTGTAAAGGGACGAGGGCCTCAGGGAAGGAGTGCTGAGAGTTGAAATGGGGTCGAGGTCCAAGGGCCAGGGTGGGGTGGTCTGAGGGCCAAGATGGAGGTTGAGGACTGGTAATGGGGCAGGGACGGACGTGCTGAGGGCCTGGTCTGGGACTGAAAGTTAAGAACCCACTTTGAAGGCCAAATTGGTTTAGAGCAGGCCTTAGGGTGTAGTCCCAATCCTGACGCCTTAGTTTCAGCTCTTGGCTTCTTATCGAGCCTCTGGGCCATAGATGAACGACTCTTGGCTTGGAAGCCCTCAACCTACCCACTGTTCCCTCCAGAGATCTCAGCATCACTTCACTCTGGAGAGCAGTTGCTGGCAGCACCGCCAGCGTTGGGAGGCGGGGGCGCGGTTGTGCGCAAGCGCAAACTGGAGCGCTCAGCCTGGTGGGTACTGCAGCTCGCGCGCACTCTCTGGTGGACGCTCAGAGCCGTGGCGTCCAGCCAAACGCTGTGATTTTCCAGATCCACAAAGGCCAGGAGGAGAGGATTACAAGAAAACTAGACTGAAGTGCCGGGCAACCGCCTGTTCTGCCAGCATTGTTTGGGAGTCAGGTGAGAGCAGTAACGGGAACTATCCATAGCCCATCCCAGCCTGGGCGAACCCTGACCTTTAGAAGGCACTGGGCCCAATACTAGGAACAAAACGTCCTGATGAAGACTCGAGCTGGCCTGTGCGTTCCTCCTGGGCAGTGTAAAGAGTGCCTGTCACCTTTGCTCACTCTCACTAATGGCATAAATAACATGAGGAGAGACACTGTCCGAAGAGGCCAGACTCCTGCAAAATTGGTTGAAGTGGAAGGGTGTCCACTGCTCATGTTTAGCAGAAAGTTCTCTCCAACCATATGTAAGGCCAAGCTAGGAACTTATGTAAACCCACAAAATGATAATTACAAGTCGAGTTCATTTTTCTTCCTTAGCTGGTGCCGCCGAGGGCTACTTTCTCCAGACTCTGAGCTGTCCTTGCCTGATCTCCTTGGGTCCCACCCTATTCTGCCTGAATAGGGTGTTCACTTTGGAACGTGTTTCCTCCAGCCTGGGATTTGAAGATTAGTCATTAATATTATCACTCACCTCTGTCCCTTTTCAGGTGTATAACGACTATTCTGTTTTTCCATCTGGATTTTTGAGGGCTGTCTGCTGAGAAATGGTCTCTTTAGGGTCTTCCCATTTTCATGCTTACTGTGGTTCAGACTATATCCCCCTTGATGGCTGTCATCCAGTCCTCCAGGAGGACATCTTTGTGTAAATTTGGGACAAATGGAGAGCAACTTCAAAAGTAACAAAACTGAAAGTGGTCTCATCACCTTTGCAAAATCACACATTCCATTCAGAGATACCCCTTTCTCTCCAATACTTGTAGTGGCCACAGATGCCTGGAATTTTGCCATTTAACTATATCACAGGCACCGTGGGTGTGTGAGGCTCATGGCGTGCCCTCAGTGTGATGACATAATAGCTCATGTTCCTCAAGAAATATCTGAGGAGGTGCCCTCATTGGTGAGCTGGCATAATGCTCTTGTACAAAGGGATACATTGAGATCCAGACAGAAGGAACTGGCCCGATCACTCAGCAAGCTTGTGATACTGCTGGAATTGGAGGCCATGTTTCCTGATATCGACTCAATTCTTTTGCTTTTACTGAGTTCTGGAGGCTCTGAAACTTGGAAGGTGTTTCCTGGTTGCATATGTTCACTCACATAACATCAGTGGCTGTCTCACTATGTGCTAGGTGTAAGGCAACGGATATGCAGTCATATTTTGCATAGTGAATCTTCAGTTACCAATGAACCACAATGGTGGTCCTCTAAGATTATGATGGACACCATATTCATTCAAGGACATCATAGCCATTTAAATGTCATAGTGCACTGCATCACTCTCACATTTGCCAAAATGGGATAAACAGGTCTATCTAACGGCGTTATACAAAAGTATAGCGCACGTAACCAAGTTCAGTGCACAATACTGGATATAATAAATGATTATTTTACTGATATATGTATTTATGGTACTTTTAGTTATTATTCTAGAGTGCATTCTTTTTAAAAAGTTTGCAGCTAAATAGTACACCAGTTTTACCAGCAGCAATTTCATATACTATGTGTTCATTGGTTTCTATAGAAGGCAGCATTAAATGATGACCCACACCATCTACATTTATGTGAGTACGTTCTGTAATATTTGCTTGGTGATAAAATGCATTTATCACAATGTGTGCCTTCTATGAAGCAGTTTATAACAGTAATTAGGGAGGACCTAGCTCACTCAGCTGGACAGAGAAAACATGCTTCTTAGCATCTTTACATGTACTTCTGTCATTTTTTATGTTCATTGTTTCCTCTTGAAATATCTTTCAAAGAGGAGGCTTATGAAAAACTAATCCTGAAATGATGCAAATCCCTCACCAAAAGACACCTCAAATCCAGCTGCTGCCACTGTCTTATTGACGGACTTTATCCAATGGCCTTGGAGAGGTAGTGGGCAGCCCAGCCATGGCCTGCAATAAGGAGAGACAACTCAGCATCTAGTCTCCTTTGAACAGAACGAAAGCTGTCAGTGCCTGCCTGCAGGATCAAAGCACACGGGCAAACACTGTGTCTCTCAGTTAAATAGGCCCCCAAAAGGCACTGGAGCAGTGAAGCCATGGAGCTCTCTGGGCGGGAAATCTGGGTAGTAGACAAACATGGATTTCTCTGCCCTACCAGATGCTTCCAGGTGGTACTCTCTTGTGGTCTTTCCCTGGAACTGGAGGACTCATTCCTCTGTCTTCCTTATAGTGAACAAAGCCAGATTTGATGGGGAAAAGAATGCTGAACTAGGTGGTGAGAGACTTAAGATCTGTGACTTATAAGGCACCCCAAGAGCTTTCTAGGCCTTACTTTTCACATTTGTAAAGAAAGGGAGAAATACTGGTTCAAGCCTTCTGTCCTTGTCAGCAAACCCGTTTCTCTGGGAAGAAGAAGACTAGATCAGTTGCTTTCAGGCCCTTGTCTGATTACTGACTGACAAGTAGAACGATGGCCATTTCTATTCTGGGTCTCAGTATGAAAATGCCCATTTCCCAGGAATTTTGGAGATGCCAGACCAGACAACTTATTTATTCTTTCTGATTATACTTGCCAGTAGACAAACCAGCAGCAACTTCAGAATCATTCTAAGGGCAAATACATTATTATTAGGATTTTTAAATCTGAAAACAGTTTTTAAGATACTGAAGTCTGGGGCTGGTGGTTGTCTCACTGGTTATGAGCGCTTGTTATTCTTGTATAGGATCCAGGTTCGAGTTCCAGTGTTCACAAGGCAGCTTAGCACCGGGGTACCAGATACCCTTTTCTGGTATCCATAGACACCAACCATAAACATAGTGCCCATACATACAAACACACAAGGGCAAACCAATCATACTCATAAAATAATAAAAAAATTAAAGATTTTAAATCATTGCCTCTGGTGGTATGTGTATGAGTGTTTTGCTTGCATATTTTATGTGCACCAAGTACATGCTTGGTGCCACAGAGATCAGAAATTGGTAACAGATTCTCTGGAACTGCAGTTGCAAATGGTTGTGAGTCTTAACCCTTGAGCAATCTCTCCAGCTTAGTAGAAGCATTTAGAAACCTTTGGTGAGTTAAGTGTGTTGCTGATTTTTCAAATGAGATTTTTGTTCTTTATGTGAATTGTGGTAGTTCTTTCTGTATTTGGGAGTATGAATTCTGTGTCACCTATATGATTTGCAAATGTCTTCTCCTGGTCTGGGGCTTGCCTTTTCTTTTATCTCATTTATTTACTTAGACAGTGCCTTACTATATAACTCTTGCTGGTCTTGAACTCATCGTAAAGACTGGGCTGGCTTCAAACTCACAGAGAACAATCTGCCTCTCCCTCCTTACTGCAGAAATGAAAGGCATTCATCACCACATCAGCCTGAATTTCTTCTTTTCTTTTTTAACGTAATGCCTTTCAAAGACTAGAAGTTTTAAACCTTTGGTGAAGTCTGTTGATTGCTAGTTTTTTTTTTGTGGTTGTTTTCTTTAACTGCCTGCTGCCCCATTCCCCAACCCCAGAAAAAAAAGGCCTATTCTGAGGTCACTAATATTTCTCATATTTTTTTACAGTTTTAGATTTTATGTGTAGATAGATGAAGCATTTTGAATCAGTCTGTGGTACAGTCTGACATAAGAACTCAGTTAACGTTTTATATATATATATATATATGTATATATATATATATATATATATATATATTCCTGTAGGGATAGCCAATTGCATTATTAACTTTCTGGAAAAAAACAGTCATTTGTACCCTATCAAAAATAAATTGAGGGCTAGGCTTGGTGGCATACACCTTTAATTCCAGCAGAGACAGGCAGATCTCTGGGAATCTGAGGTCAGTTTGGCCTACATAGTGAGGTCCAGGCCAGCCAAGGCCACATAATAGAAAGATCTTGTGTCAAAAATTTTTTTTCAAAAATTGATAACATTTCATTACAGTTCTACTTCTTGGCTCACTTCTGTGTTTCACAAGTCTGACTTGGTGCTTGCTGCAAACTGTTTTAATTATAGTATCTGTTTACCAACTCTTGAACTTAGATGACAGGAACTTTGAACTAATTTTACTTAACGCTTGATATTGTTCTGTAATAGTTTGCACTGAGTTTTATTTAAGAATCATTGAATGAAAACATCATTTATCTGAGGGGAACCTGTCACAGCCCTGTCTCCAACTTTGTTCTTCTCATTGTTGTGGCTACTCCACAATGCTTCCATTTCAATACAAACCTTAGAATAAGTTTGTCAATCACCTAAAGAATGTTTATTGGGATTTTAACTAGTTTTATATTGAACTTGAAGATCAGTCTGTAAATCTTAACTATATTGAGTATTTTGTACCTGAATGTGTCACTATGTAGATAATTCTTTATATTTATCAGGGTGGTTTTATAAATTTTCAACTTGAAGCCTTTCTTGTTAAATTTATTCATAAGTATTTTGCATGTTTTGATGTTATTGTAATCCTTCTTTTATGACATGTATGCTTTTAATTTATTTTTATTGCTTAGAAGGACCAGAGCCTCAGTAGTATATTAAATGAAAATGTTAAATAAGTATGTGGTATAGCATGGTGGTAGAGTTTTTTCCCAGCATGCTCAAGACCTTATGTTCTGTTGTTAGCACTACAACAAAATCAAACTAAAATTTAAAATATTCAGATATCTTAACCTTGTTTCTGATGCTGAGTGGCTACTACTATTATCTTTCTTCCTCGACCAAACCAGTGCGTGGGAAAATGTTGCTGTGGGCCAGCCATGGTATGTGAGTACAAATGAGTGTCACTGTGGTAGCTTGAATGAAAATGTCTCCAATAGGCTCGTATTGTATTTTTGAATACTTAGTTGTTGGTGGAACTTTTGGGGAAGGATTCGGAGGTTTGGCCTTGTCAAAGGAGATGTGTCACTGGGGGGTGGTCTTGGAAGTTTCAAAAGCCCACATCGCTGCCATTTAGTGCTCTCTCTTTCTCTCTATCTCCTGGTTGTCGTCTCAACAAGTAACCT